GGGGGGGGTATGGGTCTTCAGCTGGATTTTAGGAGGTTAAGCAGTGAATAGGGAAGAAGAAAAGGGGGGGGGGTGCTCTTTGGGAGATTCGGTGGGGGAAATTGGGTTATAAGTATAAGATGGAGGGATGTATCCCTTTTCGACAATAAGTAAAACATATGAAAACAAAATCTCTGCATGCGAAACGAAATGTCCCAGCAAAACCATTAACGTTATAAGAAGAGACAGGCAGAGAAATGTAGAAGTAAGAGCAACTAGTGGCACATAGTCCTGCTTGCATTTCATAGAAAAACAGAGAATAATAAATGGTTTGGCCATCTGTTACAAATGTCACCTAGCCAGCCAGCCACGCGAACCTAGAACACCAAGGCTATAAGGGAAGAGGAAGGACTCGCAAAAGATGGGTTGAGGAAATCCAAGGAACCTTGAGAAATTATAACATCTTCATGGAAAGAGCGGCAGAGGTGGCCTACTATTGAAAACTGCATCTCCCCTCGACGGTTAACATTTCCAAAGGATCAAGTACACTTAAAATAGAGTATACCAGTAACTTTTGCCAGGAAATAATCGGGTAAAAGAACGATTACAGTTATTAGCGGTACTGAAAACACGTTGATCAATGAATGTGAGGAGATGTCAGCCAGCCTGCCTGTAAATCGTGTACATCATGGTTTTATTGCTTATCTTAAGTGTTTGACCCAGCTGCAAAAACCAAAACATTTATCTTGATTGAAGTCCTACTTCCACCTCCCCGTGGTGAGCTGGGGGCAACAGCAAGCCTTCAAAATCGCAAATTTCTATTTCAAAAGACCACCGGGCATAACATGGCGAACAGAAGAGGCAACGAGAAAAAAATCGATGCCAAAGCTAAACCAAGAGAGCGGTAAACACTACTAGTCCAAAAGGGACCCAACTCTTACTGGTCTAAAAGGAACATTCTGGTTAGGATTACTGCTCCAAAATAAACTTTCTAGTTACTGGTCCGTGAGGAACTCTCTAGTTTCTAATCCAAAAGGGAATTCCGCCTGAAGGAGAAGAATGAAGGGTAGAAGGCTAAATGTCAGAAACAGTCCTTAAAGCTTCATCACACGCAGCCACAACTAGCGGCTTTATGGTCCAGTTTCCCTGCCACGGTCCATTGACCATAAGACTTTCTGATTGTTCCCTGACAGCGAGTGTCCAGCACTGGTAAAAACACCCCAAGGCCATAAGTTAATAATGGTCATCTATTGACCGTGTTTGGACGCATTGTCCCAGTGACAGCCAGTCTGTGCTCCCTTTTCAGGGAGAAGAGGAATGTTGGGACTGGCCAGCGCCATGCTTGGGGTAGAACATAGATATATTATAAATGCGTCCTCTGGCGATCAAGGGCATTTTCTAGAGTTGTCAGACTGGGAAAGATGTACATGTATTATTAAAAATTATCTCTAAATGATTGTTTCTCTCTTACTGCTGTAGTGCTTGTCGTCGTCGTCATAAAATCATCATCATCATCATCATCATCATCATCATCATCATCATCATCATCATCATCATCATCATTATCATCATTATCATCATCATCATCATCATCATCATCATCATCATCATCATCATCATCATCATTATTATTATCATCATCACCACTGCTCCTTTCCAGGTATCTATCTATCTATCTATCTATCTATCTATCTATCTATCTATCTATCTATCTATCTATCTATCTATCTATCTATCTATCTATCCCGCTTTTTTCTCTTTTTCTCTCTCTTTCTCTATCTATCTATACTCTTTCGGGTTTTTTTTAATAAAGCAAAGTCACGATAATATTCGTCGATATACTCACAGCCAGAACTCCTGCGTAGATGGTGTAAACTTCACGGTCTGGTTTGAGGAAGACAGAGTTGTGTTAAACGTCACTTCTGTCTCATTCAGATATCCCAGCGAAAAGTTGTAAGCGTCGGCCATACTTATATTATTTCCCAGAATGGATTCTTCGTCGTCTAGCAAGAGCGTCGTGAGATCTTCGCTCATCATAGACATATTACTATTATCCAGTTGTTGGGTTGGAGTTTTGTTGAGAAGGCTTTCATTTCTTCTGCCTCCGGGAGTTCTGGACAAAATGAAAAACATTAATGAATGTCTGTCTGTAATATCGTTTCATCGTCGTCGTCGTCGTTGTCGTTGTTATTGTTGTTAATGTTGTTGTTGTTGTTGTTGTTGTTGTTGTTGTAGCTGTCGTTGTTGCTGTTGTTATCGTTGTTGTTGTAGCTGTCGTTGTTGCTGTTGTTGTGGTTGTTTTAAATTGTTGTTGTTGGCATTGTGACCATCATAACTATAATTGTTATCAACCATCGTGACAAATGCCGATAATGATGTCTCGGTTATCTCCATTATTATCATTTTTGTTGTTGTTATCGTTGCTGTATACGCTGTTGTTGTTATTGGTGTTGCTGTATTATTACTGTTTTTGTTATTGTTATTGCGTATTGCCATTATCGTTATCAGTATCACTAACATTCAATAACTTTATCATCTTTAAAAAAATCTTCTCATTCTTCTCCCATTCTTTCACTTCCTTCTCCTCTTCTTCCTTACCCTACTTTTTGTCTTCCTCCTGCTTTTCCTCCTCTTTCTCCTCCTCCTTACCACCATAACTACAAATCCACCCATCCACCAACCCCCA